CGTCTGTCGCTATTCATCGGCCGACTCTACCAATTTAGATAGGAATGTATACGCTACTGTTCGGTAAAATCAGAACATGATGAAGGAATCGATTCATGTTACTTAATTTTACGTGAATGACTTTAATATCTGATTTATGATAAATGACTCTATTTTGAATTTGTTGATTAAATGTGTATTAAAAACTTATTGTATGATCTGTAAGAAAAACTTTTAATTTATAAAAAATAAAGTGTCATTTCGGAGAGAAATAATATTACGGTTTTATATATATTTGTTATTAATAATAAATATTATAACTTGAACGTTAATTAGCAATAATGTTAAGAGTTGTACCTCGGTAGCTTTAGAATTTATCAACTTCCTGATCTTACCGAATATAACGCACGCGGCTTTACATGTCTGTTCAGACTTTGATTCGATAAATTAGTTCTGGGAAACTTTATTTCTGATGGATACAATGAACGGTAACATATACTTTAGATGTTGATTTGTATGGATATCAGAGAATATACTGCTCATATTGTGCTGCTTCGTATTGTATGCATTTCTTGTATTATAATCCTGATTAGTTAAGAATTAGTTATTCATACTAAAACATGTAATAATGCGAAAAACTTGTTATACTAGAAATTATCTTTGTTACAATGTACTTGTACTAATATTTAATTTAACGAGCAAGCACGATATTTCAATTTTTGTAATTAAATCTCCGACAAAAATTTGCAAAATTTTTTCTCTCGTATTATCTATATAATTTTTATAAAATTATTATAAAATTATCGTTTTTAAAGCCATGCATATTTATCTCGACATACGAAGAATATCATATCATTATATCGCCAATGAATTGTCTAACTTGATTTTCCGATCTAAGAAGTAGTATCAGATTGTCACGATTAATTTCATTATCCTTTTCTCGTCAGGCTAATGATGATAAGTTCTACAAAAAGTGCATAATCTTCGGTAGCCCTCAGGTGCAGCCCTATTGTGCATCGTTTTATCACCTGACGGACGTGACTCGCACGCTTCTGATCCTGGAAGTTGCTCGTGCTCGGATCGTCGGCCACGTAGTTCTCGCCGTGGGTCACGCGAGGAGCATTCGCTCTCTTGAGGGACGAAGGCGAAGGTCGCTGCGGCGCGGCCTCGCATCCTCGACCTCTCGTAGGAACGGCACGTAACACGAGGGCTGCATCCACAGCTGTACCCTCCCCGCCGCCGACGCCGCCATGTGTATCATCGCTTGCGTTTGTACGATTCTCGACGACGGTGTTTTCGACTCGGTGTTCGTGCGAGTGTGCGTGGGTGATGGATAGACGGTTACCGTGTCACTCGTGCAAAGCGCTAAACGGAGTTGAATGGTTCGAAATTGCATGGGCGACTGCATTGTGACCACGTCGACGGCACAATGGACGGCCGCGCGATGAGCGCGCGAGTATGCGTTCGCTGGTGTGTATGCAGATGCGGCACAAAGAGATGTCGAGGATCTATCGGGAGATAACGATCTTCCAGATGAGCGACATTCTTTCGTATAGCTCGATATCGAACTCGACGTCGCTCAAGATCGGCGGGTGGAGCGACGCGCTGAATGATCGCTCCTTTCATCCGATTGTAGTCTCGCAAGTGTGAATTTGTTATTAGTTTGGAATTAATAGCGAAATTGTTATACTTCATTTTTACTTTTTTAGTCGCGGGAGAAGTAACGTCATCAGATTTTTGTAGGAAGAATAGTATCGTGTGTTTAAGAACGACATATCTCGACCAAATTTACATAATTTCTATTTGAAACTAAATAACTTTTCAAAATTCTTTTATAAAAATTATATTTTTCAGAAAATTTCTCTTGAAAATTTTTTTCTTTTTGTCTGTCTCTTTTCTTACTGGTGCAGCTTTATACAAAGATACGTTAAAAATCCGTTAATGTTCACATCTTCGTCTCACTTGTATTCGTACACTTTCTCCTTCGTAGATACGAGTGATGTATTTGCCCTAAACAAAATCTATCACGACTATTCGTTGGCTTTTTTTTAAACCATTACATGTGATTCGCCAAGAACGAAGCGTCGGTTACTTGCGAACCAGCTGAAAAAAAAAACGGAAAAAAACCGTCGCTTCCTCTCGTTTTTTCTCTTTTTCTTTTCTACTGTCTCTGTGTGCACATGTTTTTATATATGATTTTTCATACGTGTGTATGTTACAAAGAAATAAAACCAATTGGCGGTAGTTTCATTCGCGAATCACTCTCTCTTTCTCTGTTATCAAAAACGTCGCACCTGGTACATAATACCGTCATCTTTAACGCGTCGTTCATCGTAACGTACAAAGGAGAGCAAGGGTAAAGTCGAAACCGACAGAAATCGCCCCAAAATCTTAGACCCCTTTTTTATCTCCCCACTCTCTCAGCCGACTTTCCCGTTTGCGAAGAGTTTCGGAGGGGCTCAGAGATTCTCACGGAAAAAAGCGTAATTTTCGGTGAAAAAAGGGAGGGACGATGCAAATTCGTGGATGAAAAAGGAAAGCCCTGTGTGAGTCGCGTATGTACCTGCCGCAACATCCTGCACGCTGGAAAGGACGAGGAGTACGAGGAGTAATAGATCGCGCGAACGAAAGAAGGGCTCGGGATACACTCGGGAGGGGTAGAACGTGCCGAGCGAAGCGAAATTTTATAGGGAATCTACACCAATACCATGCGTATACGTCAGTTTCCTGGAGGTATCCTACCTGACCTGTTGCGTCTTTTTTCTCCCTTTTTTTTTACGATTTTGGGGGAATCCTCCCATCAGGTAACGCAGATGGAGAAGCGAAAATCGGATCGGAGCCCCTGAAAAGTGGTGCCGCGTTCTCGCAGGATATATTCACAGGATTTTGAATTCCTTTACTCTTCTTCCTCTACGTTTTTAACACTCCTATAACGATCGTTCCCTGGTCCCAGTAGTCTCTCGACGGATCCGAAAGACTCGTCCCCACCTGCGCCCGCGGCAGTGCGTTATAAAAACGCTCGCGCGAACGTTTATCTCCATTTTCGGTTTCTCTCCTCAGCTTTTATCCTAGAATTGGAAGTCGATGGGAAAGCAGTACGAGAAGAGCGGTTCCAAATGGCTAAGCGACTTCTACTTTTTGGCATCTCTGACCCTCATCTCTCTTCAACGTAGCCTTCAACATCGCGGTTTTCGACTTTTCCCACAAGAATGCGAGAGAATAGCCTCTTCTGTGTCTTTAGTTACGGTTGATTGTTCGTTTTAGTTTACGTGTTTTTACGTTTACCTCATACTGCGAAATACAGTTAAAAGATCTAGTGAAGGAAATATATAGATCAAATGGTTGAGATAATAGCGAAAAGAAAAGTTCCGTAATATCATTAATGAATATTATTTTCATCAATTCTTTAAATATAAATTTTACATAATTACATATTATATTTTCGCGTAATCATAAGTAAACATTTGCATTTACATGAATATTACTATGTTTATATCTATATCTGTATCACACAAATTTAAAAAATATCTTTAAAAAGAATTCTTGCTTATTTTCTTTTTTTAAATAATACAATAAGATATATAAAAATACTTTTATCTTTTCAAATATATTTGTACATTATTACAAGCCTATTATATTACATACAAGTCTGTATGATAAACTCAATTTATTTAAATATTTTTTAAATAATAGAAATTTTTCTATTTCTTTATTATATTTTTCATTGTACAGAGAGTATATATAAAAAAAAATTCTAAAGATCATTGATTCCAATATCATACGAAAAGTCGTTGGTACGATAGCAGTCCCGAAGCAGACACGTTGGATAAATCCCCCTTCAAACTAATATATCGGCGTATCGAAATAATTATTAAAAATCGTGCAAGCCAATCACGACGCATAAGTCCGTCTTCTTTGAATCAGGAAATCGGTTCCGTGCCATTATCCAATAACCCCGGCGCGAGTGAAACGAAGGAGGTTCTCGGTAAAGGGGTGGTGAGGGAGAGAGCAGTCATAAGATACGATGATGGATGCTCGTGAAGGGTTGCTGTTGTCGAGTAGGGAGAGAGGATACGCCAAAAGGGCAAAAGGGTTCCTTTCAACCAATCGGCCTGACGTAACTGATGCGCCCAACCAATCCCGGGGCCCGACAGGGCCATGTAGTAGTGGGGAAGATTGGCGCGTCCTTAGGGGCACGGTTTCGTTGCGTCATTCTGACATTCGCTCTGTATCGGTCGACGAAGACTAATACTGTCGTAGTGACCTTCAGAACTCAAGACGACCTCCAACAAACTTGCTCCTTTAAATATACTTACTCAATTCTCACACTCAACGTGAGGTCAATTATCGAAGTTGCGTAAATATTAATGAGGTGTTAACAAGCAATAATTTAAACGCATCGATTCCAAGTCTCGCAAATTTAACTTATTTTCGTGTTTAATCGTCAATTGTTATTGAGCGAATAAAAGTGGAAAATCAATACGTTTGTCTTTGGATCGGAGTGTACAATTTTTTCCGTCTCGATGTCTTCCAAAGCGGGATGAAATCGCGCCGATCGATAGATCGTCGTGGGATCGCCGAGCGCGATCCTTTTCACTTTCGCGCGAGAAATCGAACATCGTGCTGAACCTCAAGAAACGTCCCAATGTAGGGACGACGAACGGAATAGACGAAGCTATGATGGTCTTCCTGGAAGAACCCAGGATGATCTTCGCGGACATGCGTCTTCATGCCACCAGCACGCCAACCAGCACGCGATATCATCATCATCAGAAATACAGAGCGCAGAACAACAACGATTGTACGAAAATAGCGCGATTTTTTCGGATAAATTTGACGATTAGCTTAATATGAATTTTAATATTTCTTATAAACATACGTATTTTAAATTTGAGAGCTTTATCACGTTAATATCATCTGCTGCATCTTGAGAGTATAATAAAAATAAAGATGTAAAGATTTACAAGCTATAAAAAATATGAATTAAACGAATATTTAAATTGAGGTTCTGTTTGTTGCAGATGCAGACTTACAAGGCGATGTCGATGGTCCTGAACTCAGCGGAGATGACAGGAGTATCGCAAGTGACATTCAAGATGCCACTGAAGCGCATCTTGATAATGATTCCATGGATTCGGACAGGGAAGCTCTCAATCTGGTGAATAAATATTTTAATCTAATTTTATTCTGATTTATTTCTTTTATTTATATTCGCGTTTATGATTTTTTTTCTAATTAATATTAAAAATATTTTATCGATTTTTTATAAAAATGTATACTTATTAAAGTTTATTTACTTATTTATAATTATTAATTTATAATTATTATATGATTTTATATGATTTTATAAATTATGTAAAAATTTATACTATCCAATATATTTTATATATTTGCGATTGCAATTAGAAGACAAAAAAACTGTCAATAGTACTGCTATGTATTACTGCATGCTAATGATTGTTGGAAAATACATGAAAAGTATTGAAAAGAGACGTGATTTTTAGTACTATAAACAAAATATATAAATATAATTCGTATCTTACGTGCACGAAGCTACATGTGCTTGTATAATATGTGCAAAATTTAATTATTCTTTTTGATATCTTTATGTGTTTTATCCAACTATCCAATATATTTAATATATTGAAAATAATTAATTAATAATGAAAGCTAAGTGATTAATAAATTATCTTAACAAAATTTCTGAAGAATACGAAATATATATATTTCTTCAACAATTTGTTCATTTAATTATACTTTGATTTAAAAAGAAGTTTATTAAATATTAAAAAAGTAGTATATATACAATCTATAACTAATAAAATAATTAAAAATAAATGAATTAAATATATTTCTTGTCAAATAAATAATACTTTCTATTTATTCCTATTTACATTTAAAAACAGTGCATATAATGTTTTTATGAAAATCTTAATCAATCTTGTATTTTATTTATAATTGTTGTTATTATTGATAATTAAATGTGTTTTTATACTTAATTTATCAATAACATTTATAAAAGATGATTTTCTTTAATAACTTATAAATTCAATGGTATTTTCTCTACTTATTTTGACGAAAGCGTGCTTTGTCATGTCACCCATTGTCATCATTGCTTGTGTGTGTTGCTTAAATGTATCAACAACGTTACCAATCCCATTTGCGAGCGTAATATCCGGCGTGCTTTCTTTCGAGAGGAACGTCCACGTACGCGACGCGACCATGTCTTCGATTTTTTTCTTACGGGACACTCTTGACGGGCGTAAAAAGCGCTCGCGATCAATATTTGACAAATAAATAAAGGAAGCCACTAGCGAGACGGACGACAAGAAGGGACGACGTAGGGAGAGTAGGTTTTATAAAACACAAAAGCGCAGGATAGGCCATAGTGACCAATATCCTGACCTGGCCGAGTGTAAACACGGCTTTGTTCGACGGCGAATTTACTCTGTAATATTAGGGAGGGTGGCCCTCCTCGCGCGGCCCGGCTGATTCTTCGTGTTCCCGGTCCCACGTTACACCGTGAAATGTCGTAGCCCGTATTTCGAGGAAATCAAAGATTGCCACTTGATTATCTTGAAAGATAAACTATTCGTAGGATGTCAAAAATTGTTGGCATATCATCTCGTTGACCGTAATTTGTTATAATTTTACACATTTTACACATTATACATTTTCAGCTAAATTTAACGCTTAAGCTAGATTCGTTAATGCAAAAATCGAATGTAATGTAAATTTGATGTTACTTCAGGTCACGGATGTCTCGCAACGCAATAGCAGTAGCGGTACCAGCGGCAGCGCGTCCTCACCGAGTTCCGGAATCAGCAGCCAGCTTACGGGCAATCATCAGCAGCAACACACGTCTGGTCAACAAAACAATAACAATTCACAAGCTGCGCTGGCGACTCAATTGCTCAGCCAGCAATTGCTGATGCACGGATTGGGAAGCCAAGAGATCCAAGCGATTGCCTCGACGCTACAGCAACATCAATTACAATCACTGCAACAGCAAATACAGCAATTCGCTATGTTTCAAGCCAATCCAGCAGCGGCGGGGCAGATTCCGCCATTTTTCCTACAGAATCAGGTGGGTATACAGATGATGACAATTTTGTGGGCTAAAGATCAGATCTATTAAAAATATTATTTCTCCATGTTCATTGTTCTATCAATAGCTATTCTACTAAATTACTTTTCTACTCAAATCACGAATTACATTTGACGCGGTCGCAATTTTGTCGGCGGGATTGGAACGGATCGACATGGATCGTAACGATGTTCGGCCATGCTATCTGATCAGAACGCAGATCAGGCGAGAGCGAACGTCTTATTCTTCACGTACGGCATCCACGCGATTCGACGTTGAGATAGCCGTCTGGCAATGGCACAAAGAAGATCGGGGTGCTGCCTCCTCGTTTAGGCTTGCCCTCGTCGATGCAAATGCACGCGACAGACCCAACTTGTAACCGCATCACGGTCGAATTTCGCGCTCCATTACGTCGCATTAAAGTCTTCATCATTGAAATAATCCCAGCGCATTCTTGTATAGCAATTGCAATATCTGTTTGTTCAATCTCATTGCATTTCGTGTCGACGACAGAAAAAAAAATTGATTACAATATAATTTATTGCAAGATTTTTACAGTTAAAAAGATCTTAGTTGTAAAATCGGTTGTCCAAAGATAAAAAAAAATCTGGATTTTAAAATTTAATAGCATCACTATCATAATAACACAGCAATACAGACGCGTAGGAAATAATAATTGATGACATCCCCGGAAAAAACGGTACAAAGAGATTTCCTGATTTTCCTCGATAAATATCACGTTTCGCGTATGCTTTAAAGCGCGTTTGACGATCGCCGAAAAAGAAGCGACATATTTATCAGTCGTCTCGCAGCACGCATTTCTCCGATGAAAAGAGCGTTTCACGATATTCTTACTATTTGTTCGTCGGATCTCTCGGATCGACAGAAGGTGGAGGAATCGATCCACGATATCCGGGGATACGTTGAAAAACGATCCCGCTTCCTGGATGCGCTCTCTCTTCCCCCCTCCTTCTCATTTGTGCGGCCCTTCTCGCGAGCGATCTGAATGGACTGGGCTTTGCATTTACGAAAAAAATGTCTATAGAATCCATCACGACGTGCGCGTGCAAGTATAGTCTCCGGGAAAAATCAACAAAACGACTTCGAGCTTTAGCACACTTAATGGGCAGCCGCGTTCGTCGTGTGTATTATATATTTATTGTGCACGCACACGTACACGCGTATTTACGCGTAGGGTCCTAGATATTCCCCGTCTCTCTATCGGAAGGTACCGCGCGATGCCACAAGGTGAGCTTAGGGCCCTTCGGCACCTTGCCACAGGGTGCCTTTTGTTACCTCACACGTGGCCAGGATGTTTCCTTTTTTCGTCTCGCTGTTCCTTCTCTTTCTAAGTTACGGAAGAATCCTCCTCGTATGTTCCTCTTTCTTTTTTATATTCGCTCGGAGCATTAAGACAGGCACACGACCTTCTTCAGTCGGGAAATCGCTTTGCCGAGTACAACCTGCCCCTTTCAACCCCTTCGCGGGCGGTTACGTGTGTGCGCCACGTGAGGGCCTTTGTGGCTTATCTGCCGCAACAGAGGTTTAATTTCTTTATTCAAAGTCACCCTTCGTGAATTCTTTTTATATCTTAATTTTAATTACTATAAAATGATCTTCTTTTAATTTCGAATGATTATAAAATAATTTAATAAAATTGCATATATATTTTTCGATTTAAATTAAAATCGGAAAAATAAAATATATGCATATATAAGTCACGAAATGTCTAAGTTATATCTGTTAATTAAGTTTCGTAAATGTTAGATAAAAATTAACGCATGTACTTAATTTTATTATCAATCATTATTTTTTTGTAGTAGGAAAATTATTGTGTTATTCTAGTTTTTATGAATCTTTTTAAATTGGCTTTCTATCTTTTAAATATTAAAATTTAATTAAGTTCATTTCATTTAAAATTTAAAAGGAATACCTTAGAATTATAGACGATAACCTGTCGTGATTGATCCTGCACGTGGCTCAACTCAAGGCGTTTTCATAGGGTGTCTTCGCCGCCACAATGAGCATAAACTAGCTGCTCGTATGCCAGCGACACGCGACCAACCCCAAACCCTTTCCGACCCGGGATATCATGCCCGTGACGCGAACCCTTCTTATAATCGAGCATCATGGTTAAGAAATGGATGAAGATAATCGATCGGACAGATTCGACCCTTGGAATTATATTTTTCGTACCTGTACGCACACGAGTCTGACACGTGCCGAGTCTTCCATAAAAACACCAAGACATTTATCTTCGAGACTAATGGGTGCAAAATTGTACATGAGTACATACCTATATTTTTCAATCACATGCTCGTTTACAGAAATTTTATCTTTTGGAATGATAAATTAATTATATAGTTGCGTCACAGATTTTGAAACGTATTTTAAAAACACTGCAAAAATAAATTTGTAAGAGTAGAAGTAAAACGCAGATGACCATTATGTTGACTTTCACCAATGGTCGTCAACGTCTTGCAGGGGCTGTTGCAGAGCGGTGGCTATCCAACAAGACCGAGTCATCCGCGCTCACAGTCCATGCAGGTACGATTTAGGATAGAGTTGTATCCAGACATTGCCGATTGCAAAATTTATTCAAGCACAAAAGCATGAACATTTTTTTAATAACATTATAAAATAAAATTTCGTTAAAAATGTTAAGAATATGTCATATCCAGATCACTTTTAAAAGTCTCGATACAATTTTAACTTGTTTAAAGATATCTACAATTGCGAATAATTATGTTTATCTTGTATAATTATCTTGAACATTTTATATGCACATATTTTGGAATAATTTATTTATTAAGAAAAATTAAAATTATTAGGTGCAAGCGGCGGCAGCGCAATTGTTACAGAAGCAACAAGCTCTTCAGGGTAGCGGTAGCTTAGTTGGGCGAAGTTTGACACAAAGATCATCGCCACCACCTAGCACACCGCCAGCAGTAAAACCGACAAGATTAGAACCTTCGCCGGAGGAAACGACGGATCTTGAAGAGCTAGAGCAGTTCGCCAAAACGTTCAAACAAAGACGGATCAAGCTTGGTTTTACTCAGGGAGACGTCGGACTCGCCATGGGCAAACTCTACGGCAATGATTTTTCTCAAACTACAATCTCCAGGTAAATAATATATATCTTTATTTAAATTGCCATTAAATAAATAATTTTGAGATAATATAAAAGTCGTGAAAATGTTTAAAAAGTACTAACGTTAATCTGAATTTTTACGTTATCTTCTTGAACTTTTGAATTTATATCTTGTTAATCGAATTATTCTTATATTAGATAAGAAAACAGAAATAGTTAAATATTCATATTATTTTAAATATAATGAAATGTTGCTGAATTTAAATCAAAGAAAATTGTTGATTATTGTATTGTACAGGTTTGAGGCATTGAATCTGTCTTTCAAAAATATGTGCAAACTGAAACCATTATTACAAAAGTGGCTAGAGGATGCCGATAACTCATTGAACAATCCTAACTCTCTGTCGAATCCACTTACGACACCGGAAGCAATTGGCAGGCGACGGAAGAAGAGAACGTCGATAGAGACTAGTGTAAGAGTGGCTCTCGAAAAGTCTTTTATCCAAAATCCAAAGCCTACGTCCGAGGAGATAACCGTACTGGCAGATAGTCTCGCAATGGAGAAAGAAGTGGTTCGTGTGTGGTTTTGTAACAGGTAGATATTCAAATTGTTAAAATATTATAGTTATAAAATATTAAAAATTTTTTAGTTATAAAATAATTTATATCTCCTTTTATATTTATATCTCTTGGTTTATCATAAGGAATTAAGAATTTTCCATCAATGTTTCATTCTCTTTAAACAACATGTAATCATGTTTTCAGGAGGCAAAAGGAAAAAAGAATCAATCCGCCAACGGCTGCGATGGGCAGCCCAACGATGGCATCACCTGCACCTTCGGTGTTTGCCTCTCTCGCCAATTCCATGTCTGGCAGTCCTCTAGCACTTACGACGCATTCCTCCAACGCAGGCCACTCGCATCCTCATCCAGCACCCTTGACCTCACCCTTGCCTCTTGCTTTGGTAGCTTCGTCAGGCGGCAATTACCATCCGCTAAATAATAAATCCCATGAGTGACATCAACAAGCGACCCATCATGGGGATACTTCTTATCATCAGCATCATCAACAATCACATCAACAGCAACAGCATCATCATCAGCAACAATCACGACGCTTGTGCAATCTACCGGATTTCTATCATTAGCCGATGATCTGATTTCTTGAAGCTTTTAATCGAGGTAAAGTTCGGAATACGTTAGATCTTAATGATTTACAAACAAACTTCCGTATCTTTTACTTATCAACATTGAGTTAACATATCTACTCTTTACTTTCTCTTCAATCCTCGTTTGTATTTTAATAGTTTTACAGTGAAAAGACAGTTAAGAATAGATAAGTTAACTCGGCATCTAGCAACTAGCATCACTAATGATGCTATCAAATGAAATTAGATAGTAGCGTACAAGAAACGAAGAATTCATGAAGAAATCGCGAAGAGATCCAAAAAAAGACAGTAATAATCAATTTTATAGAAAATTAAGTGAGTGACTGAACAAAAGAATATTATAAATAAGACAATGTCTAAATCTATGTTGATTATCATTAAATCACCCGGAATTGTTATAAGTGTTTAAAAAGTATACGAAGACACGCTACGTATTGAATACAGCATGAATATTAGTATAGATTTTTAAGTGTATGAGAAACTCTAATAATATTCATTTGGAATACATTAGAATGCACTAATGCACATTAAAAATTTGTTGTATAAAAATTAATATGAAGATGTCAGTATGCATAAACAGTTGAATTAAATGTTCAGCATAAATTATTACATATTGTTTGGTATGTCATATGTGCTGCACATTTTATTAATTCTAAACGTTTATGTTTATTATATTTATATATTGAAATGAATTAATATATACAATCTTTTTAATTTGCATCAGTGCAAATTAATATATTCAACCGCGCACAAATTTGTTATAAGATCGTTTTCCATATAAATCGCATGGCAATGAAAAATTATTATTGTTAGAACAATTTTTCCAAACTGTATAGCTTTAATTTTTTCGTAATTTTATATGCCACAAAGTATATAAAATGAAGTATGTTGGAATATGTCGCTTTTCTTTATTATTTAGAAATCATATAATGATGAACAAAATTTTATATTTATCCGCAACAAAACCGATGAATCATAAACGCTTGTAGATCGCGTTTTACCAATAATAAAAAAAGTTTGAATTCTTATTGCAACATAATCGATATTCGTAATAATATGTCAAATTATGTTCTATACATACTTATATGAACATTTTTTTTTATATATTTTTCCGTTATATTTCTAATCATAATTTTTACATGATATATTTTAATCACAGTAAAAGAGATGATAATCGATAACCGATTGTTGGCTGTCTTTTTTCCAATATTTTTACACGTATACAAAAATTAGTCATACGTGAAATAATTATCACGTATTATACTTAAATGATATACTAATTAATTTGTATGCTGTGTTATAAAAAAAATGTAGTCACACAAACCGAAGAAGTTATCGAATATTGCTTGATTCCATTAAAATCTATCCGTGTACCTGTATTTTTGTAAACTTTTGTAATAGAAATTAATCATCAGACTTTTTGTATGAAAATATCTTTTATTTTAAAATTATTATTATGAGAGAAAAAAATGAACAAAAATAATCGATTTAAATTGCAATAAATTATTATAGAAAAAGTACTTTCATCGTTTTTTTTTTATTTTTATCATTATTTTTCTTATTTTTTTCTAAGATAATTTTGATGGTGGTTTTGTTTCTCTATTACCAGTAGATCTATGCATTTTAATTAATAAAATAGACGAGGTCCGACAATACGATTGTATATATATATATATACACACATATATATATATATATTGCACGTAGGCGTGTCTGTCATCGTATCGTACATATCTGTGTCACAGGGCTGTATATATTATATGACGTAAGACCATCGAATGTTACCGAGGATGCAACGCATGATGTCCATGTGCGGTGCCAATTGTCCGCACAGCGCAGCTAATTCGTGCATAATTTGCATCCTTGATAAGGAGATTTTCAGTTACGGACGATAGTTAGAGATAGTTAGAGGTTAATAATATTGTAGATAACACGGTACCTAGGTGATACGTAATGTATATATTATTACATATACTACATCGAAAATTATGTACAGAGTGTATTACATTCGTAATCGAGATGGATGCAGTGGAGATTTGGACGCTTCCATTTTGTGTTATATTTTCTCGTGAAAGTATACATCGGGATACGTCACGTATTTTTTAAAGCGCTTTAATATATTTTAATATATATTCTGTTGTACATACATTTTACTTAGATAGAGAAATGTTTGCGCTCCGCTGTAATTCTCGATTTGTGCTCGCTGTAATAGATCCGTTTCCCGTGGTGGTGAATTTTCGGTGATTAATTAAGGGCTATGATTTTATAGATTATAGACCAGGAAACGTGATATACCAATTATATACTTATTTCTAAGATCTAAGCGTATGTATAGATTTCATTATCAATGTGAAAAATTTGCATAAGAAAATGTATACACACACACACACACATATATATATATATATATATATATATATATATATAATTATTGAAACTCGTCTCCCCCCCACCCTTCTTTTTTGTGTTCAAATGAAATTCTTTTTTCTTCTTGGCAATCAACTCAATGAATAAAATCAAAATAATGTCAACAAGGATTTATATCAATAGCCAAGACATAATAAATTAAAAATTACTTTGACTTGATTCATTGGATCAATATTGCCGAAAAGAAAGAAGAATGAATTATATTTATTAAAAATTTTGACATTTCCTTTTAACATCAACCTATTGACATATAATTCATATTAGCCTTGATTGTCTATTTATGTTTTGTATTTATAATTGTCAACAATTACATTCAGATACTTTTGAAAGAGGAAAATTACGGATGACTGAAAATATATCTGACGTAAATACTGAAAATGAAGAAAATATGAAATAAACACGGCATGACAGAGCTGCTGCAAAAAATTTTACGTCTGACGATGAATCTTTCGGTACAGAAGTAGATTCTGACTTACTACTTCCTTTTTCAGATTCGAAGGAATTTTCTGCATCACAAAAATTGATTAATTTAGAAAAGCTTGCACGGATATATAACATTTAAAAATGTTAATATTTATTATAATTGTGTTATTTGAATTGAGATGCTTCTTTAACATCATTTGTTCCTAATAATTCTTAATGACATTCATGATTTTGTTTTTATATTCAAACAAATATTGAAAGATTTTTCTTGTAATTATATAGTTCTTTTTAAGAAATCTTATTTGTGCTTATTGTATTTCTATATTACTATATTATATTAATAACTATATTATATATTAAACATTTAATTTATTAATTGTTTCAGAAATAAACCAAAAAATCAAACTGATCAAGATCTTCAAGATTCTCAAAAATAATACAATATGATGAAGATATTAATAATTAAAAAATCTGCATACATCATCATGAATATCACAAAACATCTTGATGTTCATGATGATGTATACAGATTTTTTTTAACTGCAATTTCTTTCATATTTGCAATAATCTAGATGTTTTGTTTTTATAAGTCTATATATTTTATATTTTCTTTAGAAGAATTGTGTTAAATTTGCGTGAAAATATTTTTATTGTACAAAATTGTAATACTGTACAAATAGTTTATATTATAATAATATTAAAAAATACTACTGTATTATATATCTACACTTCTTCAAATCTTTTATTTTATTTAGTTTTGAAAACAAAAGTGAAATGTAAATTTTATAGTAAAAATGGTTTATATCACTAATATGTTACTAAATGTTAACACTTTAAACATTCAACAAAAATATAATTAGTACATTTTCTAAATTACATTAAACTTTATGTATATATCCCAGACAACACGAAAAGTTCAAAAAGAATTCATTCTTATGTCACCAATTCTGAATTCATTCTCTAGATGCAAAGAAGTCTTTTTGATTCTTTATGATAATCCTAAACATAGAAAATCATGAGTTGACCCTGGTCAACCTTCGACATCGACGCCAAAGCCCAATATCCACGCCAAGAAGGTTTTGCTCTGTATCTGGTGGAATTTGAAAGGTGTGTTGTATTACGAGTTGTTACAACCGGGTGAAACAATCACTGTTACTAACAACAATTGACTAATTTGAGCGATGCATTAGAAAAAAAGAATCATTTACTAGCCAAGGACGTCGTCAAATGATCTTGCTTTATGACGAATGCTCGACCACATGTTGCGAAAGCGACTCAGGACCATATTTTTGCGTTAGGCTGGGAACTTCTCCCGCACGCGGCGTATAGCCCAGACATGGCACCTTCCGATTACTACCTATTCTGGTCGCTGCAGCATCATTTGGCTGATACACATTTCGTGAGATTTGAAGAGATACGAAAATTGATGACTTTATCGCTTCGAAGCCGGTGAGCTTCTATCGTCAAGGAATTCGCAAGCTACCCGAAAGATGGCAAAAGATCGTTGATGCAAACGGGGAATATTTCGCTGATTAATATTTTTTTGTTTATTTTTGAATAAAGATTAAATTTTATAAAAAAAAGCTCAGAACTTTTTTGTACACCTAATATAAGCAATAAAATAAAAACATAAACTGGATATACTATATTCATACAAGAGTATTATGTAAGGATTAATAATTTAATACTTGCTTTTCGGTATATTTTGTTTTCATAACATTTCTTTTAAAAATATTAACAAATTATTTTAAAATAAATTATTTTTCTTACTAGTGTGCAATAGAAATAGAAGATGAGGAAAATAAAATTTCAATATTCAGATGAGACTGAAATAGACTCTGAAGATCTGATAAAATATATATTAGGAAAATAGTCAGTTTTATTCTGAATATTATCAGTAAAACTTCAACTACTAACCTGTATAAAGTTGATAAGTCCATTATAAATACAATATATAACTATAATATATCTAATAAATAATATTAATATTTTCAAAAATTTTTTTAATGCATTAGGATCATCTACAATGTATTCAGCAATAGATTTATCTGCCAGTACATCATCTTGTGATGACAGTAATTGTTGTTTCGCCTGTTGAGCAACACTTCAAAACTGTTAATAAGAATATTTCTGTGCTGAATGAAGATCCAAAAAAAGTACTTTTATAAACAACATATTAATTGGCAGTAATATAAATTCGCTTTACGATTAATTTAAGAATTAATTTATTAATGCATATGTATTTACTTTTTGATTACACATAATATTTTAATATAGGTAATTAACGAAGTTTTGAACAAAACAGAAATTGGATATGATTTGCTGAAGAATATGAAGCGAATGATACTTTCAAACCTGAATCTCGCCGAGCTTTAGTTAGATTGCTTGTTGGACATATTCAAAAACAACATGGGTAAACCTTCTTATGCAATTTTTACAATTTTATGCCTTTTTTACAATTATACAAAACTTAATTTTTTTCCTTTTTATACAGAAAATTATTAGATAATATAAAGATTTTTTACGCAAAAA